AGGAGTATACAGGTGTTATATGTTATGTTTGATGATAATCCCTGGGATATAATTGGTTGGTTACAACGTCTAGCTAAGAAATCGAACGCACTCTTAAGAACCTTTCTTTATTATAGCTACAGTATGTGTGTTAGGCCGATATGACTGGTGATTTCAGACCTTCTCACATCGGTAGGCTCATTAGTATCAGATCAACGTCATGCAGTTGAAACCTTCAAGTATAGTTGTAGACCTATACTAATTTTTAGATAGACATTTGGAATTTTTCGGCTAGAAGTCTGTGTAGATCGAACTTGACTTTAAAAACAATCCATATTTACATTAGTAAAACTGGTAAAGCATTAGTCGACTTGATATTTGTAGATAGATAACAGTGAGCGAAACATCGATGGCTTTCTTCGATAAGTACCCCGCCCTCGATGAAAGCCAAGAGCAGCTACTTCCAATAAGTTTCAATGAAAGTAGGAGGTTCGCTGTTGTGCCCGTGCTCCCGGCAGAATTCTATTGCAATAACAATATGATGCTAGGCGGCTTAGCAGCAAAGCCGTCGCAGTCGGTCCGTGTGGGTCAAAAAGCCTCGTACCGCTGAGGTCTACCGCCAGCCCAAGAACGGAAATCTTCTTGCGATTGTATCGTAAATAAAGTGCTACTTAGCTAAAATAGGGTTATTTAATTGATGGTAGATCTAAACACTGCTGGAAGCTTCTAGAGAAGTATAGGCGGATCCTAATTCGGAATTGAAAACTTATATTACAAACAGAAGCAACCATTACAGTAAATTAATTTTACTTTTTAAGTAGCTGAAACAGGCCTTTCTACGAAAGAAGCTCTACGCGTACTAATGCAGACCATCAGACTGTTTGCACACGAACCTCGTAGAGGTAAATAGGCTGTGACATGAAAGCAGTCGAACATCCTTTGAACAGAACGAATCGATACTGAAATTTAGTGAATCAGTATCTTTTGCAAGGTTTACTTTTGTACCAGTTCGATAAGAGTCACCCGATTATCTATTTTGTATGTGGATAAACCCCTTACTAGCTTCATGCACTGTAGAACAATTTTACGGCCTAGCCGTGAAGTAATTTTTGATCATAGGGAATCTTATTATACAAGTATCTATCTTACTCTTTACTTTATCTACTATCTACCTTACACGCGCTCTTTTCTTTTCTCGATACACAAACGTAAACCTACAATCTTTAAGTAAGCGTGCGCGATATCTATTTATGCAGGTTTCATGTTTATGTCACGAGGCGCGGGGCTGACTAAAATGGTCCATTCGCTGCGTTAGTAAAAAATGGTGCTTTATCTACCAGCAGTTATTTTGGCGGGCAGTTCGGTTTCACACGTGGTAGTATCTGATGGTGGTGCATTCTATATCCGCTAACACAGTCAGTGTATGAATTTGATTGGCATTAACTATCAAAGTCGGTTTCTGTTTCTTTTGTTTTTTTTTTTTCTAGAGACTAGCATACATTTACCGTTGCAAATACATCCATTTGTGATTACACGGGCTTAAAGGTTACTCACTAGCCATTCGGTGGCGCAGGTAATTTGCATAGAATATGGTATAGTTTGATTGTTGTCGTTTCGAGTCGTCTGCTTCTATTAGCCACATAACAATATTATGAAAGAGTCAATGGCCGCTGGTTGCGAACGGATATTTTAAGCTCAGCTAAAGACGTCGATTTGTTAGAAGTTCCCTAACGAATCTTTGAATTTTTACGTCCGCTGCAACTGATACGAACCACTTCACATGGCTCGCCCCCAATACGAAACGAACTGTGTCTACGTCTAGTTCTGTCGTAGACCACCTCACGGAATGACCCTTAATTTAGTAGAAGGCCAGTGCTTATAGGTCTTTAACTAGATACGCTGTAAACGTTATGGTTATTTAACCTTTCTTGAAAGATTACGTTGAAATATCATTGTCTCATGATCTCTGTATACCGAATTTATATGCGTCTTTTCCTTGTGAAGCTAATCTATGTATTTAATCGAACCGCATTTCCTACATGAGATTATTACTATCATTGTCGTTCGAGTTCGAGTGGCGAACCGATTTGAAACAGTCGCCTACGGAAGGCAATGGCTCTACTAAAGGTTTTCTACTTAGGAAACCATGCAGCGAAAGCTGCAAGTTCATTATCATGTTTCTGAGTTGATTTCCACCTGAGAGTACTATCATCCAAAATGGTATAGCTATACTTAGAGCAGGCCATACACCCACACGGCCAATGAGTGTGTTAGGACACACAAAAAACGATGTCTGTTGTTGCTTTTCGATAGGCAAAGCTACACTGCCTTGTGCATCCTATGTAATTTATAATATAAATTGAGGTTCTACTAGAATCGAAAGTGATCTCTGTACTGTTGCTGCTTTAGGTTTGAGCTTAGGTATCAACGGACTCGTGCAGTGCCATTAAAGTAAACACAAAGGATGCGGCATCTTTCCGACTGATTCAACCGGCAGCTAAGGTGCTTGCCGAGCATCAACATAAGCTGCCTTAGGCAGGTCAAACGTATAGCACGAAACAACCTTAGGAACATGTCGTGCATAGGACGCTAGTAATAATAATAGTGATGAGGACAATAGTAATCAGACTGCTGACGGCATCATTCTAGAAGGCATGTAACAATGTGAACTCCATTGTGGTTCTTTTTCTAGAGCGGTTGCATAAAGTAGGCTTCGCCGAGAGTTAGAATGTTTCAGAAATACTGTCAGAAGCAACAGACCAGAGTGTGGTTATCGCTCGGGCCTTCAGTGAGCAATCGCACTGTAGAATCAGGCCCGTCGTGCGCTAGGTGAACTCAGAACACGAAATGCAGCACTAATACAACATGAAATCGCTAAACAATTTCGTGTGCCGGTAATGGCTTCGGAGCCTCGGTAGCTAAGGGGCCTCTGTGCCTTGTCCAGCTATCTATTTGTTACCGAAGAAATTCCCGAGAAGGTGCCCCGTTTCTAGTATAGAAGAAACAACGTAATGAGACGCATCCGAGTATCCTCTGCTTTCTTAGACGGCGAATTGAGCTGTTTTCGGATCTAGCCTGACTAGAAGTAAGAGACTCTTCGCATCTAGCCTAAGTAGACATATAAGAGGTTCCGGACAAAAACCCTATTAAATAATTTACCTTTCCTAACTAGTAACTAGTAATATTATTATTACTGATATTATTATTCTGTATAATACACTGCAGATATGCAGCTAATGTTCTATGTATATACAGTTAAGAACAACGACTTTTTGAGATAATTCTTTTTTAATTTCGGCAGTTTTTTTTTTCTTTGTAAATCAACGTCCAGATATCATTAGTCCAAGGTATGCTTCCGATATAAATAAGCAGTGTCATAGAAATATGCTCGGTGCAGTTTTTAACGGATCCTTATCACCGTTCAATATCACATTTCTACAGCGAAAACAAGGCGAACAACGTAATGGTTTTACCATGTTATAACACAATATCTGATAGATACTTACGTAGAATTTCCTTTTTTTCTATTATAGCACATTTGTTGATGGTATTTAGCGTTACATGCTTGTTGTTGCAGTGACGTTGCCTCCTATCGTTACTGTTCTTAGTCGTTAAGCCATATCTGGCCGCAACGGATGGACGCGAGTAAGCATCGATGGGTTAGTTCGGCATTAGCGGACCCAGACCTGCTGACCACAAACCAATCACTGGGGCCCACCAATGCGAATCAGACTGGCCAGTGTTAAAGGAAGGCAGCAACTGATGGTCTTTGACACTGGTGAAATGCCGCGGCTGCATAGAACTGGGGGCACCGAAATGAGGTGCCCGTTGGGTTAATAAACGTAGCGGCCGTATTGTATAATCGGCGCCTACTTTATGTTGCGTATGAAAAAAGATGAAACAGAAAGGAATGCTCATGTTATAAGATTCATAACGAAGTCCCGTCCAGTAAGGTATACTACTAAAGGCACTGCGATTTTCCTTCAGAAAAATTTTATCCTGTTAGTAATTCGTAATCTGATCGTCTGTATACCTAAAACCTATGGTTAAAATCAGCAAAAAAAAAAAAAAAGACTAACGTACGTAACACTAAACTGGCACTCTTTGCATATGTATTCTTATTGAGCGAAAAATCGTCTAATTAACTATTTGAAGCTGCCAGATAGTGCTAAGCTCAGAGTTCCTGTAAAATGGGCTCGTGCATTATTAACGAACGTTATTTCCTCTCGAACGGATGTGCCCAAAACGCAGACCAAGTTATTTTTAGTTTACGAAGTTCAACCGATCTGATTGGAACCTTCGTACTACCTCGCTTGGTAATCCACCGCTAACGACAGACGTACGATCGCGTAATAAAACAAACTTTTATTCATTGTATTATTGAAAATGTGCCGACGTGGAGAACTCCGATATGACCATTACGGAAATAGGTAGGACATTAAAACGCTTTCAGCCAGATGGATCACAGGAAATCACACGATAGATGATTTCATTCACTGGTAAGCCCAGTATAGTATCATGTAAAACTTCAGTTCACCTGATTGTAAACAACAGTACTATGCTTGTGGAGATTTGAAATGGAGACTTAAAATGATTATTTTTGATGTTCTTTTTCGTGTGCTATCATGTGAATCTACTAAATCTGTGCAGGCATAGTACTGTATGAAACCATCAGGGGTCTTGTCCTGAATCGAGTTTTACTATTCTAAAGTGGTTTTATCATTCATCGTGCACCTACCCACAAGATCCAGGTTGTGGTAAGGGTAAATTACCTTACTGTTTTGATTGCATCAATTGGGACACGCGATGCACAAACTAACAATACTTTTAAACAAACTATATATCGTCATATGTACAACACTACCAAATTTCATTTTATTACATATTTCGAGTTTTCGCGCGAAGGGCTGTGAGAGAAATGTCAAATCGCACATCTGCACGACTATTCTAATAATGCACGGTATCTAGTTAACTGGGCTGATTATTTACAGTTCTTTTTTTTAACTTTCATTTCGTTTTAGGATTTGTCCTGCAAGGTACTAGAACAATGTTGGTAGGTTCGTCTCTCTGGGGGCCTCTTCTGGTCCTCGCCGGGGTGACCGCAGTAGCCCACAGTCGTTCAGCATCTAACTTGATAGCTACAGCTATGGGCAGGGCGAGCGCAGCACTTCACGCCAGGGGTGATCACATATGTAGTTATAAGCCTCCACGGTTACAGGTAAGCGGTACACAGCAGACAAGGAGAAGTCATGTAGCTGTTATTTGGTTGATACGAACGGGCAGATTTTAAACTATTGGATTAATGTTGATTGATCACATACACCCACGAACAGATGGGAATGCAATGGACAATCAAATGGTCTCACGTCAAAGGCTTAGATGTAAATGACCCTTATGTGCAGATACCGATTGCTAATTATGGATTTACACTGAAATATTAATCACATGGCGCGTTGATGAAAAAAATCGGATAAGAAACCTTGCTGTATTAGCTTTCGTTCATATATTCAGGTCTCAATGAAACTTCATTTGCTTAACTGTGCTGGTAGTAACGAAGAAATTCAAATATGTAAATAAAGAATACGATATTGGAATATCATGAAAATATATAAGGCGATTTAGTACCATTACAAAGTATTTTTGATACACGAGTCTCATTGAGTTTACGAACCTAATATAAGAGATTTGCCGGATGTCCTAAAAATGTTACCTGGATGCAATGAGCGACATATCTATCGCGATTTCCCTCGCATGTGGAGCATCTATATGCATCGTTAAGAAGCATGACTTCCTGCCAAGTCTATGGTAGAACCCATGCAAAATGAAGCGAGTGGCGACGTGTCTGTTCAGCCGGTTCATCGTTTTCCACTCGCTGTTCTCTGTCGCATTGATGGCAAAAAGCTTCTGCGAATTTTTGCCTCTATTTTTGAAGGTTGGTGTTGAAAGCTTCCGTTGCTGGGAGCTTAAAGCGACGATGTATGTTCCCGGACAGCAACGGTATATCGGCTAGTAGGTACGAAAGAGATTTTCGGTCACTATGTGTAGTCCCAATATTGTTTTGGGGAGGAAGACTTTGATGCGATTTAATTCTTTGAGGTTCTCCACTGTAAGATCTTCCGAAATGCGTACCGTGTGTTGCTATCGAAGCGGCCCTGAAATTGAACAAAAAACAAACGATGAGACGATTTGCTCATTCATGCGTCCAACACTCTCGTATCGACGTGCCCAATGAAGTTCAACCTTTAAAAAGAAGAATCTCCGCAATTCAGAATGGAGCAACGTCTCTCCGTCAACTTTGCAATAATTAATAGTGAAACCGATCATCGTTAATACAGAAATCCTGATCACAGTCTACAACCCGCGAAAGTTTGAATTCTTCCAAACTAGCCAGATTTTTTCATCCATGCCCAACCAACCAATTAAGTTGAGCTGAGCTATACGCACAATCTAGTTCCATTGTGTACGTGCTTCTAGAGAAATTTCATTAGCGTTAGCCTTCCAAAACATAAAATACCGTGGACGCGTGTTTCGCGTTTTTTATGCACCAGTTCTGAAATCGTTTTTAGTCGGTCTATGCGAGGATTCCAGCTATTAACGCTGCAATCAGCACCCCTTGAAACCCCACGCACGATAAAATGGCGAACGCTTATTTTAATAAATATTTAATATAATTATCCTTCAGCGATGTCAGTCTAAGCATAAAACCGTGCACCAAGTATGACTGGCGCAATTGGGTTACCTATGGGTTGATTTTTCGAGGTAGTGCTATCAAGCGCACACTTATACGGTTGTGCGCCAATCGCAGCATGGGAAGCTTCGGTGAATCACCTGCGAATTTTCAGCTTACCACCATTGTAGTTCAGACAAGTGAAAATGCGTAGGATACATCCACGCATGCGTTTCGAGGACGTATAGAAGTGTTTGAGTTTACGTGAGCCGCTAAATTTCGTGTATAAATAGAAAAAGCAGCACATGGGAAGAGAACAACAAAGTCATTTATTAAATGGCTATTCTACGTTCAATTAGTTATTTTGAAATCGTTTTACTTAAAATAGCTGTTATCAGATTATAGTTAGAAGAAAGCTATTACAGAATTTATTGAATGCTAAGCCCATCGACTAAGGAATTATTGTTATAGCCGTTGTTGTTACTATTATTATTACTTTAGTGTATTTAACTTGACCAAAATTAATAGGGCCATATCAGGGATTATCACTAGTTGAAGACTAACGCTTCCAAGCCGAACTAAGCTAGCCCTTGTGAGCCTAGCTCCTTGATCTTCCAACGAACTTCCGACTGACAGAGAAACCTAGCTCAATTTAAAATACAAAGAGAAGCAGGGCTTTTTTCTTTTTTTGGTTCATTGCCACCTGTGTAAAACGATCACAAAGGCCGCCATCACGACATAAATGCTCAAATAGCTCTTGTTGCCCCATAGATCGGTCATCGTCATTAAAAGTGCTAAATTAACCGGAGTCAGCAGATCGCTAAATTCTGATGGAGTCTATCTAAAGGACGACACTGCAACCAAGCGGCCATAGAAATAAGTGCAGTTATGACATTGCCCCAACTCCACACTTTAGGCCACACAGTTCAAGCATATACACTTCTGTATGCAATGCCACTATTTTTATGAACTTTACTATTTACGGTTGTTGATTTTAAAGCTTGTTTTCCTGTACTCCTACATTGTCGAATTCAAAGTAACGTCCCATCATATTCCATATATACGGATTAGAGCAATAACAACTTGTTTGGGAATAGTTTGCTTAGACTGTTTGTTTTCTTTCTGGATTTCAGGACCCGCTGCCTCCGATAGACCTCGGAGAGCATCGGATGCGCAGGCGCAAACGAAGACACGAGGCACCGCCACTAAGAATTCGTTACTTTTATCACAACGAGAGCATAAGCAGGTATATACAAGCGTATAGCGATAATAAAGAAATAGGATGAAATGACCGAATATTTCACAGCACAGAATCGGACAATAGTCAGGTAATTCGATGAACGAATCTGGCTTGACAGACACCTAGATTGAATAGCTATTATCATCTGTTACAATTTTAGATTCACTTTACTGGTGTTGGGCAGCGGCAAACCTTTGCCTTCGGTCTGGAAAAGTTTGATTTATTTAGACATCTCAGAATTATTATAGTGCGTTATCTTAAGAGACCTCAGAATCATGGGAAGTAAAGCCGAGTGTCGGCCCAAAAAAAAAAGTCTCGCGTCGTTGCCTCATTTTTCTCATATAACATTGCGTAAAACCTAAGCCAAAAACTGTAAACTGTATATCAGCTGCACTCAATTAAATAAAACAAGCAGGCACACTCTTATTTATCCCAGGTAACTTTTACATCATGCTGTGATAGCGTCCAAGGTTCCCCGGGCTGACTTGACTTCGGAACACTCCCTAGCACAATACACACAAGTTATTCGCAGCTACGCTCGAAAATGCGTTTCAAAAGGAGTGATTTTTTTTACTCTTGGCAGCCATTTTACTAAGTCATTGATACATGGCAGTCGAGGTCGTTTCTTGCTCTTGTTCTGGCCACACTTTAGAGACATGTCCTATGCGATGGCTTTGCTGGCACATAAAAAGCCAATTAGGCAAGTGATCATTTCAAGGACCTAACATCAAGACGATACTGTAACCAGGTTAATTTTTGGTTGTGGCAAAGCCCAGCTTCACCTAGCCTGTTATTTTGTCAATTTTAAGCTCATTTACCATCAAACAAATACATCAGTAAAAAAATTGCAGTAGATTGCGCCATTTCATCGCTTTAATCTCTATACATGAGTGTAATAAGCTTTGCGCTGTAGAGGTTGAAACCCGCGTAACTTTTGGAAACGGCAAAGTAAATGCTAATATATTTTGGCAGACAGACCAGGCCTGATAAATAGCGGAGTGGCGACGCTCCCTCTAAGTAGACCTGAACAGCACTGGTGCACTTCGTCTAGTGGTAACAGCTACTCAGCTCCTATTTGTTACATATTAATTTAATGGATAATTTTTATATATTACTGGCCGCACAAGTTCTACTGGTAATTAGTTTAAGCTAAGGATTAATACTTGCCCTGTGAACATATGAAATCTGCTCGTGCATATGCCTTTACGAGTTCGGAGGATCATCTCCATAGTCACGATATGTATACATGGAACCAAGTGGCTAAGGAAAAAATCTTAGCTGGTCTTCAACTGACCCTTCTATAACTAGCCCCGATACTGCTGTTTGCCGCATTGCTTTGAAAATTTGTCAGATAGGGCAATCAATACAAGCAGTCTAACGGGACTTTATACGTACGATTTTATGATCATACTTTCGACCCCCGCCATAATATCATGCGAAGCAAGAAATTTCTTCTATAGAAAAAATGACAAATCGCTGAAGAGCATATATATATATATATATATATGTATTTGTTGAATGATTGCGTCGGCAATGTTTGCTTCTTAAACCAAGCGCTGTCTACGACACCTTGGGTCAAATATAGGCAAAGTAGATCGCGTAAGGAAATCTTTGAGTTAATCTTATTAAATCGTACGCAACGATTACGCTGTGCGACGCCATTGAATAAATCTTACGTGTTTTCGTACCAGCGCAGATATGAACTGATCCACATTTTAATAGTTGGCTCAGAGGGTCGTTAGCAATGCTATTGACAGACTGTTTTTGTTTGCTTATGAAGGCTATAATATAAAAACGTCTTGACCTTTACATATATACCGCGAACGCTTGTCTGTGAATGTAACATAATTTGTTTGTTGGCATACGTCATACGATGCAAAGGCTGTTTGAAGGTTTTAAGGCAAAATCATTGGCGGTCATTCGACAGGCACGTGTTAAACATTGGTGTGAACCTGACGTCTATCTATTCGGTTTTTAATGAACGGCTTCCTTATATATCTCATTGTAAAATTTCTGTCGTAAAGAAATTTTTTTTTTCTTTTAAACTAGTCAGATTGAGCTATTCGGTAATCAGACTGATATCTTCCAATAACACTTTTCTCTCTGCTTTGAGCATTCCATGAAAACCTTGAAAATACGTACGAAATTTTTTTTTATGGAAATCATTAGAAAAAAAGCATTAATTACACTTACTTCACTGTAGGCCTACTAAGTAAAGCTTCTAATACATGTTTTAAAAATATACCTATTTTTTGCAGAATATTCAAACTATTCAGTATACTCTAGCAAGTTATGCTCTATAAAACTACGCATAAGTTCAAGACATACACATGCTCATTTCAGATGAGGTCGAATTGTCAAATGGCATCAGTCAGGCAGATAGCTATTATGTTTATTTAGAATTCATTATTTAAATACATTTAATGTTGACGTTCTAGGACGTCAGAAGTTGTGATTAGACAACGTCGTTGTCGCGGACACTTTCCGTTTCGAGCAATTGAAATATCGTAAACTATAAACGAGGCACTTCTGTAGGAACCAATAGACGCCGATGTTACTATCACCATAGTCGCTTGAGTCAATCGCACCAGTGCTTATTATTGGCCGCCGCCATCTGTACGTTCTAGCCCAGATAGGCGTTGGCCAATATGACCCGCTACAGCACGTCACACGCCGAACCCCGCGGGGAAAACAAAGCGCTAACGACTACGTTTCTTCAACACTAACTGATCTATGTTCAGGATGCTTCCTGGATATAGGGATCTGAATTTGATATTGATGTTTATAATCTTCCGTTTATGCCAGAAAATTCAGTTTACCAAACGCTGTTAGCTTTTGGGCGTAGACTTACCTCCGGTGGGGATCGTCTGCACCTTTACCTTCTACTGGGAAAATAAAAAAAAATTCTTCGAATATTATCATTTGGCGTTCGATATCAGAGGTGTGCTTTGGGTTGTTGCTATTTTTATATTAGTAAAATTTAATAAGTCAGGCAAGGGCAAACGTATTGATGTCACAATTGCGCTATCAGTTCCGACATCACGTTAGATCTAATTAGGGCTTGGTAGTTTTCAGCTTTTTTGACTTCACGTGTGACAAGAGACAGATTTGTGTTGCCGGCGATTCGACGTGTTCAAATAATGAGTGCCTATCTGAGCAGTTACAGCCAAAGTGACCCACAGGTAAAAGTACTTGTAAAGATTCTTAAAAGATAAAAAGAGTCTTATAAGACCGAAAATATTACTTACAAATTTCTACATACGAAGCAAGCCATTGTGTTATTAAATAATTGGTACCGCTTATGCTTTTGAATGCCGCATGCAGTGCACATCTCATCGGAAATTCCTATAAAGTAGTATTTTTTACTTAAAAGAACAAACTTCAGATGTGAAGAGATCGGTGTATTCGTGAAACAAATTTGCACCTGTTCTCGGGCAGGTCTGCTCTCTCTTTCTTTTAACTTTCAACTTGCTCAACTTTTAACCTTGACAAAATCACCGTGCGTTTGACATTTCGCTTCTTTCCTGAAACTGGGCCAACCGAAAACGTAATTCTGGGTCCGTAAACTGCGTTAATTTAATTTGCTAATCTTAACCGAAACGAATCCACTGTGGATGTCCCCAGTCAGCCTCATGTTGAACATTGATTCTTCGTTATGTTGAATTATTAAGTGCTTCTAGTGAAGTATGAAGTTGGGACATTCTCAACCAACGAAAATTTCAGTTATTCACAGAATAAAACGGGCACCATCTGTGTGATGGCCCTGTTTGTGGCTTGGAGGTGTCGTAAACAATGCGAAAGTTTTGTCATTTTACCATGTTGAGCTCTGTGTGACTAAGCAGAATCATAATAAAAAGTTCTTGATGGGGCATATTACAATCAAGATACTGGTAGTTGCTACTCGAATGTCAAATGACATATTTTTAAAAACGTCCGCAAAAATGTATAATAATTATAATAATAAAAGGTTAAAAATATTTTACCAGAACTGACTTTATCACTGTTATTCAGCTATAAGCACACAATTATTGAGGGTGTTTTCTTTTATACGTCTAAGGGCCAACCGCGATACATTGAGTTTACGATGTTTAGGCCTTCCGTGACATTTTATAGCAAGGGCGTTTAACAACTGCTGGAACCTTTTTAGCTAACTTCTTATACAAATGCGGTCGTTCATGTAAAAATAAAATCACTTTGGGACGAACTATTTTCTGTCAGCTATAATATATTCCAGGCGGTCATTCCTTGTGTTAAATCACTAAAATCTGTTGTAAATAGACGCGCTTTGTTGACTGTGACCGATCCAACAGGGGACGCGGACTAATGATTTTTGCTTGGCTTTACTGTGCGTCCGAAGGGTATTTTTTCACATCAGTTTGGCTACAGCTGTCCAGAAGTCATTTACTATTAGAATACGCCCAAATTTCCACCGCACTAAAACAACGCGAGTTAACTACGATGCAGTTAGTCCTGTAGAAGATTCTACAGGACTCTGCTTAGAGATATCTATCGTAAAGAAGCAGCATTCATCTTTGAGATTGTACAGGAAACATTGAAAAATGGCTGGTTGGGTGACTCGTGCCTGTGTGAGTATGAACCCATTTTTATCCTTAAACTTCGGGGTTTAAGCACATTATAAATAAATAGACCAAGATCACAAGAAATGGAGAAATCCGACAACGACGGATCTGGATCCTTTGCGGAGGCCTTACTTGTTGATAAGATGCATCGGTGTTTAGTTAAACGCTTGCGTTTACCTTTCGATCAGTAGTTATTACACTACGGCTATCATTGGTATCCGACAGGGAAGCATGGCAGTGCCATAAGCATTTTCCAGTATGTGGTTTTTCATCGCAAACGTGTATACCCAGGACATGTACTCTTGAAAGGCGCCTAACGACAATAAAAACGAAGAATTCAATAATTTACTCCAATATATTCGTCGACCAAGGTGACAGGATTTCGCAGAAGTGAAGTAACGCCCCGATTAACGTTCGTAGCAAAAA